AAGTGCGAGAATCTTAAAATATTGTCGTTCGTTATTTGAGTGGATGTTGTAGTTAGGTGACATTCGTGCACTTAGATCAGAGGTYGTTTCAGAGTATGGATAAAACAGGTTTGAAAGTTGAAATTGGTCTTTAAATTCTTCTCAAAGTTGACCTCGAGACTGTCAACTCAAACCTTACCAGTGAAATACAGAGTATAGTTCCGTCCAGTGGCCACTATACCATAGAAGGTTGAGATCCTTTCTTGACACGTGTATCCGAAGCACCAGCCGTGGTCCTGGGGACCATTTAGGAGATTCGTATACCCATCCGCTGACAATGCTACGGGTGACAGCCGGCGCACCTCAGTGTCTGCGTCCATGCTTTCTATCACGAGCATTTCATAATCTTAAAAGCAAGCAAACCCAAATAAATGATCAAACTGTTGATCAACTTATCATCCAAAATGGCGGTCATGACGTCACAGGTTAATAACACAGATATTTACCTATATCTCTACAGGTGTATGCATTCCAATCGACGTTCCATTTACAAAGGTTCTTACTTCGAGTACCCCTTACTATCCCATGATGCGGCGCGACAACAGACGCATTTAACCTGGATCCATCTTTGCCAGTGAGCATCGCTTTGGGTATACGGTAATCACCTGCATGTATGAAGTAATAAGTACAAATTAAACCCCTGCCTCGTCATCGTCTGCCTATAGAAATTAAAGAGCTCTTTTCTCAGACTCGACGTTGTATGTGAGTATAGTAGAGTTGTTTGTTGATTTTCTCCAGTGCTAATAGGGTTTTTCTCCGAGCTCTCCGTTTTCCTCCCTCCGTAAAAATCAACTTCTAAATTATAGTTGATCTAGAAGCGCCTAGATAAAAATTTGTGTAATTCTAGTAACTCTAACATATTGTGTAGTTTTCGTATTAGATAAGCCTAACGATTGTTTCAGTGAAATGGTATAATTCTCATACTCACCCAAGCCACGTCTCGGATCACCATTCCACTCATATTCAGCTTTCGAGATGACAGTTCCCCCAGCTCTTCCTGTCATGGATCCATCAACATCAGTGATGAGAACCTCCTTGTGACCATCACAGTCCATATCGACACAATCAGATGGGTTGACCCAACCCAACATAGGCGGCTCTAACAGGACCAGATTTGATTGGTTCATAGAATGTAGGGATAAGCCACGGATCTGTACAGAGACATCAAGTGTAAAATTATTCTATAAAACATGGATAACTATCACAAAGTGCAGTCTATAGACCGTTTGCATAAAAAATGCAGCCAGTCCTCCGGGAATTTAACTCTATCGTTACGCAAATACTGTGCAGAAACTTTCTATTGTTTGGTAAACCAAAATGGCTGCCTTCTCACGTGAGTGAAAACGCTCTATATATCTTGGTTTAAAAATAATATACATTAATCACGTGACAACTAATCACATGACTGGTCACGTGACTCACCTCTGTCGGATGCATGGCGTCAGGTGACAAGGGGTTCGTCATTATCGCAACACTTCTCTTGCCACACTTGGTCCCAAAAGACGAGAAGGTAATGGAGTTAATCCTAGTTATGCCATTGATGGCTGGATACGACTCGATCAAGTTCCAAGGAAATTCCGGCGCCAAGCCAGGACCAGATGAAAAGGTCGATAACACAAACCCTATGTGTCCACCCCCTTTAGTTCGAGGTCCACGAGCCTTGGCGGTGACGTGCGCGTTGATTGGTGCAATGGTATCGACTGAGCAGTCAAAAGAGGGACTGGTACCTATTATGAGTATGCGATCAAGCTCGACGAACTTGTCAGCGGTAGTGTGTGAGAGAGAAGGCGGCGCGTAGACGTTTATCAAGACACCTAATAAAAAGATAGAGAAATACTACTGTTAGATAAATCAAGGAATTTATTAAAGAGAAAAGGAAATAATACTCTACATCGCAGGTTGCGACTTCTCCTTTTATTTGGTCCTGATAAAATCCCAAGAGAGTCAAATGACAAAGCCAATGGCGGCCATGTTGATGGTATCAACAATAGAGGCTTGAATCTGGTCTAATCTGATTTACAGTACACAAGAAAGAATTCAGTTTACCAGGGGACCGGGAGGAAGACTCTATTGTTATGCCTCCTGTCATGGCTGCCACCAAGTGATGGTGCAAAGCCTCTTTAATAGAAAATGAAATCAGTTGAAGTCATTTGTTCGATACCTCCAACATGGCGGCGATGACGTAACGTGCAAACTAAGAATAGATTCACCTACCTGCTTTGTTATCAACGAGTATACAGTCCTCCACCATCACCCTCGATCTTGGATAACCAAAGACACCATAGTCCCAGTTTTTCCAGCTCAGGAAATTCGCAACCTTAGCACAGCCAGGATATCCATCATYGTAGCCAATATGAACACCGTGTAAACATGAATGGGCCGCGTTCCTGAGCCAGGCGTTTGTTGGATCAGCGGTATAGCATTTCTCACCGCGAATGTGGAACCCAATCCTCTCGCTACCGGCTGCAGCATTGTCTCGTAGCGTGATGTCATCTGCTCGGTTGAGTTCAAACGATGAATGCCATAACATGTTCATTGATTCTTGCCGTCCATTGAATGTCGCTGAGAAGAAAAGAATAATAATATTGAAGTTTAATTTTGGTATATACATCGCCATATAATGCTTGGCGACCACTGTCAACAAGTCAACAAGTACCAATTTTAATAGTATACTTTGGCTGCCAAAAAAGAAGTCTTAAAAAGCCAAACTGAATGGATTAATACTGGTAGTATGGTAAAAATATATTGTTATACGTTATGTTATACGACGTGCGCTTTTCCTATGCTGATGATCAGCGTTATTGAACGGGTGCGCGCTTGCTCGTAAAGTTATGCTAAAGAAATAAAAAACACGCGCGCGTGCTGTGTGCAGTCATATAGCACGTAGGGGGTAGCAGAACACAAGAGAAGTGTTAGGAGAAGCACGACGCATAGCAGAGCGTTCTGCCAATCCTCAAGTGCTTTATAACCCCACACAGCTTTTTTATTTCTTTTATGAAATACAAATTACAATAACTGTTATTTTGGATACGAATGACGCAACTGAAAGTGTGCGCGTGTGCTGTGTGTTCTCATAAATCACGCGCTCCCAACCAATCAGAACAATTTCATAACAGTCGTATAACCATTGGTGTAGTATTTATTACTCGCAAACTGACGCCTTAATAACAGTATTACCTGGAGAGACACTGAACACGGCCAGATTGTGTAATAATGTGTRTCGTGATCCAGTTATCCTGAATGAGGACCCAAGAGACCGATGAACGATGTTATCTTGAATCAAGAGACCATTCACTCCAAACACTCCTAAGCCAGTGTTGTAGCCGTGATGGAAAGAATTACCACGGACGTACGATGAAGAGGAGAGATGTGGTATGTCAAGGAAAGAGAGAGAGTACCTAAAGTAAGAAGGAAGGAAGGATTTTAAGACAACATAACACAATAAAAAATATAAAAATCCAATCACGCGCACGAGATTTTGAATCCAAATGCAAGGACGCGATACCGTCTTGTCGCACGAGGAACAGTACGGAGCATATATACTTCATGCGTTATACGGCAGTAAAGAGGAATGATTGCACTGCCCATGCCAAAAAAAAAGCAATCGAAAACAATGTTTCGTGTTTCTCAGGCATAAAACCTCTCAAATATTCTTACAATAAGATACTTTTCGGCTGCACGCGCCTTCACATGCTTTCAGTTCGAGACCATTGAGCTGCGCAACTGCTGTACTTTTCGGCTGCACGCGCCTTCACATGCTTTGAGTTCCAGCCCGTTGAGCTGCGCAACTGCTGTRCTGCGGTGGTGGTAGCGATGAAAAGTATTTCTATAACAATTTTTTGTAATTAGAATGTTACCTTGGATCATAATAGTCTGACCAGCCATCTTGTCCACAATTTCGAAACTCAACATTTTCTATCCTTATCCTTCTGTCTTTATTCTCGTGACTTCCTTTCATCGAGCTGACCAATACTCTACAACCAAACAGCTGCTTCTCTTGTAGCCCAGTGACGTCATCAGCGCCTTCGATCACGATATTCCTGGTCAGCAGTCCTACTTCTGCGGCCATGGTAACATTCTGTGATCCTATAGTGCTGGTCATGCTAATATGCTTGTGTTTTAGGTTGTCGACTAGATGGATGGTTTTGCCGTCTGCAGACAGACTCTCTGTTGAATACCGAAGATTTATGGTTGAGAGAGAAATCATGGCGAAAAAAGAAAGACACAAGAAAGAAAAAAATAAAAGAAACAGGATTTGAGAGATGAAAACCGCGCAATAATCTAATCATAAATCGTCGTTTTCTCGTTCTCTTGAGTGTTGTTTCTCCTGAGAATATACTTGAATCAGTATTGAGGGAAAAAGTGACAAGCGACAGATTACCTTTTTATTTGTTTTCTACAAGAGATAGCTCTCTTGTTTTCTACCGCGTCACCAATCATTCGTCCAATCAAACAGCCTTACCTATTGTCATAACCTCAGTTTCCTGTGGCATGTAGGTAGTCGGCGCAATGACAATCACATCACCCTTCATCCAATCAACGGCCTCTTTGACTCGAATTTCCTTCGCTCCAGCATCCGCAGTCCTTTCAAGCTGAGTCCAGTACACGGTCTGGTTTTGACCATGGATTTCAAGGTTTCCAAAAATGGCTATAAATAATATCAAATTATTATTAATAAATTATCAATAATATATAATTGACGTCATAGAACTGCGCAACACTTTCTTACCCATAGCTTTTGCACCAATACTTGGCGCGTCCTGCAAAATCATTTCCGGTGTGTCCCAGTCCCCATGAAGCCGGATGACAACTCGCCCACTCATTGGCTGATCAGGCCAACCAATAATAAGATTGGCACCTGGCGCTACGAAGATGTACGTCGCGTTGAGTTCAAAGTCCAAGGTTGGGTCCAGTTCTAATGTACCGTATATGATGAGTTTTCTTAAGGTTGGTATTTTAGCATCAGCAACCATCCACCATCCTAGTCATTCATGAGTAAAAATATGCTAGCCATTCCGAAGTTGAGAAAAACTGGGCCGAGTTAGCATTGCAGAGCATGGTGGGAGTATTTTAGGGGACATATTTCCAAGATGGCATCTATTTCGTCCCCCAAAACAGCCCCACAATGCATTGCAATGCCAACTCGACCCAGTTTTTTCTCAATTTCGGAACGGGCTAATTGGCAAACAATATGTAAGTTAATATTGGAGTTCCTGTGGCACGTTTGAAGAGAGAAAACTAATATTGGTTCTGTTCTAATACCGTATACGATTTCTGTCCTAATGAATAGAATACGTGACGTCACATGATGACGTACCTTGTTTAATCATGACGTCATCGCCATCTTCAGGTAACTTCTTGTTATATCCCCCGTAGCCCTCTTCTGTGCCGTACCAGCTTTCAGGGTCAGACCATTTCAGGTACTGTAGAGGTCTTTTCTCGGGGGGAGGGGGTGGGGTGGGTTTGATGCAGTTTTTATAGAAACAGCGAATTACCTGAAATTAATTTCAATTAATAATAATAATAATTTTAATGATTTGTGATAATTTAAATCAAGTGAAAACATTGTTAAATGTGGTTAGCAACACTGCGAGAGAGGGAGACATTTTCGTCTTGGATGTAATATATGTTATCCCATTTCAGATCATGTCATTCCCTAGAGTATCATTTCTTTTTTTTTTAACGGTTGCACATGAGAAGACACATGAATTTGGATACAACTCTCAGACAAAGAATCTTGTTCTTTAGTGGATGACACGTGGTCTGAAATGGGAAAACATTACGCCCAAACAAAAAAGGTATATTTTAAATGACTAACATTAAATAATGCAATCTCGTTCCCAGAGCCTGCGTTTCTTCTGGCCTGCGGCGAAGAACGAGGGCTGTGGCATAATCCATTTTTTGAGACCAGGATTTCTTGGACTTCCGGTATTAAGAGCGCATACGTTAAAAGACTTAAAAAATATGTTCCCCATTTCTAAATCTTATTTTGATCGAAAGTAAACACAGAACTATGTTTGAAAGCAGGTTTGAAAGCATGATTTTCATTCATTATATTTCACTTCCGGAAAACTGCGCATGCGCCAAAATGGAATATGCCAGAGCCCTCGTTCTTCGCCGCAGGCCAGAAGAAACGCAGGCTCTGGGTACGAGATTGAATAATGTCTTATCTTTCCCACTCACTTGTAGCTTGACATCCCTATTGACCAGTCCGCCATTACTGTCCCCTGTCACTATATAAGTCATCTCTTTCGTTATGTTACTATAARACCAATCCCCCGTTGACGCATGCTGTGGCTGTGGTATACCGCTGGACATGTTGATTGTTTTCCCGGTTGTTTTGATGATGTCAGGGTTGTATTTCATCGGATGGGTTATCAATACGTAGTCATCTTGTTCAAACTCGTAGAATCGGCCACTGCGTGTGATATATAATATATATACATTTAGTTATGTATTAATAGTGTTAATGCACCGTACACGTCAAAGGTTGTCATAGAATTAATAACTGCACACGACACGTTCACCGTACGTTACCTTGGGCGTGATGCTTTACCATTACAGACATGACATTTCCTAGAGTATAATTTCTTTATTTAACAGTTGCGTATGAGAAGACACATGAATATGAATACAACTCAAACAAAGAATCTTATTCTCAAGAGAATAACACATGGTCTGAAATGGGAAAATACTACGCCCAAGGTAGAGGAGTCTAGCTATTGATGGCAGCAAAAGAAAGTTTCATATGGCTATGAAAAATCTCAAGGTTACAGTCGTGTCTGTGACTGTGTTGATGTGTCCGATCAATTTTTTGATTGGATGAGGAGTGATTTCGCGCACTGTGATTGGTCCAAAAAACTATTAATTAGGTACCGTGGCCGTGTCGTTTTTACAGTCATGCAATATTCCTTCCAACTCATCACAGCGCGCAAAAATACTTCTGCTTGTCCAATCAGATTGCTGTGATAGGCACGGTCACGGTCATTTGCTGCACTTTACCTGTAAGAAATATTACTGAGCTGTTGCGCATTTTCAAATGTGAAGTTATAGTTTTCCCCGACAATCACCGTTGCCATCCATCCGTTCTTGTGCGTCAGACGCATCGATGCCCATGGAACACGGCTCGTTCCGTACTGGTTACTTAGCAACGCGTCTTTGTAGAGAAGGGAAGAAGGCACTGGGTTGTTCCAAGCAAAGCGACGGAACTTTATAGATGCGTCACAGATGCTCCCTGGTACATCGCCAAGACTGGCGGAGGGGGATTGGGTACAGTGTTGAGGGGATAGGTTTTCATTGGTTGCTACGATACTACCCCCAGCAAAGCCTGGATTAAAAACCAAAACCGGAAATTAAAAGATGCATAACATGTTGGTGGTTATGGTCTAAAAGTGTTCTCTTTATATGAAACTTTATGAAACTTTACAGGAAAACCCTTTTTTATAGAGTTAATGCACTAGCAAACGTGTAAAATAACAGTTAAATCCTTGTTTGTTTGTTTTTTTGTTTTGGTTTTTTTTTTTTTTTTTTTGTTTTGGTTTTTTTTTTTGTTTTTTTGTTTTTGTTTTTGTTTTTTTTGTTTTTTTTGTTTGTTGTTGTTGTTTTGTTTTGTTTTGTTTTGTTTTTTCTCTCGCGTTGCTAGAACATGACCTAAAATAAATAAATAAATTAAAAGAATTTTWAAAAAATTACCTGTAAGCGTCCCGTCTAGGTCTTTATACACCGTCTCGTGTTGCCATAGAAATCCAGCCTTATTTGGCGAACGTATAAACTTGGTCTTCTCAAGTTTAACAGTCCATCCACCTTGATTCGGACGACAGAACGAACACCCTTTCAATGCTGCGCACTTTGGTGCATCAAAGTTAACAAACGTTACACCTGATAAAGTTAACCTTGTTGACTGAGGTCCGACAACACCACCAAAGGTGCAATGCGAGGGGTCATTACCACTAATTGCACTGTATCCTACGACTAACGAATCACGGATCGCTGCACCTCTTGTAGCGCTCCAAGGAGCTTGAACAATCGTCACCTCAAAGCCAGCCTCCTTGTTGTCCATCATCGTACAGTTAACAGCTTGTACGGCGCCCACTTCATTTACCTCGAACCCCTTCAAGTTGTTGTACGCAAGGAAGTCTTGGAACTTGGCGGGGACAGTTATGTCTGTACTTGATGTTGGTGTCAGAAGTGGGATGTACGTCGGGAAGATCCATAATCCGTATCGTCCAAATGAGTGCGCGGTGTTATTACGGAATTCTCCGAGGGGGTTTTTTCTCGGCCAGACTGTAGGGGCATACGAGGGTCCTCCGGGATGTACCGGCATGTTGTACCAGAATCCGAAATGACTTCCAGCTGCCGCGGCGTTATGGCGAACTGTTAAGAAACAAAATATTACAAAACTTAGACGCAAGGGGAAATCAAAATTTAAGGGCTTATCATGTCGTCGTTATAAAAGTAAGTTGCCATAGCAACCTATAAGAGGATCTCTAAGATTTTAAATAGAAGTTGCCATAGCAACCTGTCTAAGGGAAATGGAATAGAGATTATACAAACAGATACCCCACCTGTGTTGTTTGGGTTTGTAATCCAAAATGTCCCAGGCGTTACATCCACATTGAGTAGACTGCTCGATGACGTCACATACACACCAAGATTATACTGAATGGTGTTTCCAGTCTCGATTCCATCCTCGATGAAGTACGCATGCCCCATCACGTGATATGCTACGTTACGTTCGACCAGCAGCCCGTGCACACCATGGATCGTCACGGCACGGTTGAACGTGTGGTGTATTGCGCAGCCGCGGACGTACGATCCTGTGACGTCACCGCTCATATGGAAATGAATGGGATAACGACCTGTGGGAAATAGCACAATTTTTAAAAAGTGAAATAATTCTTTTGCATGCAATAAATGCTCATGACAATGTTAGCAAGATTATTTCATGATTATAAAAATATTAATATTATACATGTATCAACATGTAATACCATCATTTAACCTTCAAACATCGACAATATGCATTCTACGTCACGTAATGTTCACGTGAATGTGCGCACAAATCACAGGCATCCCGCGCACTAGCGTATATACTGACCTAGTTTAAAAGACTGTCCTGCATGTCGAACCTCGATATACGATATCCTTCCTGTCACAAGTCCTTTATTCATTTCTTTAGCATTCAACATGATTTGAGACCCGAACTGGTCACTTTGTTCTTCATCATTGTATCGACCATTAAAACAAGTCTGAGTCGCAAACTGGTCTGGGTCAAAGTCTTTGGGGCACTTTCGGATACCTTCGGACCATTCTCGTTGTACCGAGCCCTCTACGACAACGTTCCGAGTAAGAAGACCCACTTCGGCGCGCGTCTCTATCACTTTGCCAGCAATAGTTTGATTGATAGAGATGTGTTTGTATTTTAAGGCTGGTTTTACTTCTATCGTTCTGCCATCTCCTGACACACTGGTAATTGTTAACTCTTCGTTCTCTCCTGGACGCCTGCTTGTTGAAGCTAGAATAATATTATCCCCAACGTTCCAGGTGACAGACTGCTTCAGTAGCAATTGGGTTGCACCTGAAATGATGAACAGCCAAAAATTTCTTTCTTTTTTGTCTTAATATTATGAGATAAATGTTTTTACATTCTCTGCTCGAGTGAGGAACAAAGGATAACTAGGGAAGTTATCGCACAAGTGGGAAATTGGGAAACATACGGTACTGACTTACAGCACGTATACGGTATACCATAACACTGAAATGGCTTCCCATTGTCTTCCAGTAATTCATCCAATCACAACGCGTAGTTATGGCTACGGTAAGATACAGTACGGCTACCCGACAGCGCGGCTTCCAATTTGCCGTACCGTTACACTACTAAAACTAAAACTAAATACGAATTAGACGATTGATACCTATGTCAGCGGTCTTCTGCAGATGTGTCCACGTGATCGGCACGTGTTTACCATGCAGGTCCAAAGTCCCTTCTCTAACAGCCAAGACCTTTGCACCAAATAAAGGCAGCTGAACAGACCTCACGTTTCCATGGAGCACGATCCTCGCCTTGTGTTGAAAGGGTTTTGACTCGGTTCCAACTTCGAGCACACCACCGTCAACAAGGATGATTTTCTCCGCGTTTAACACCAAATCTTTCTCGTCAAAGATAAGCTTCCCTTTAATGACTAAGGCCGCCAGTACGGGAGTACTCACATCTAGTAGCATTGTCTGGCCTTTGGGGATCACAACAAGGTCTCCTCTGATTGGTGGATCCTTGTATCCCCAGGAATAAAGTGACGACCATACGTCTATGTACTCAAAGTCAGCACCCTCAATGGTCGATACCCCTTTGTCTTCCACCTCGACGCGAACCTTTGTACGAACAAAACCACGCCGCTGACCAGTAATGCATTTGATTTCAGTGCTCGAGAATGACGTCACAGTGCATTTGATTCCTGCTATCGTTACTTTGTTACCACCAGAAGTCGTGCTAAACCCTGGAAAAATGAACATTTTGAGTATTGGAACTGATTTTGAACTGAACTATTCAGTTTCCTGGTTATTCGAAATTTAACCAGAACTATTCGAAATTTCTCATTATTCGAAATTTAACCTGAATTATTCCATTTTTTTGTTATTCGAAATTTAACCTGAACTATTCCATTTTTTTGTTATTCGAAATTTAACCTGAACTATTCCATTTTTTTGTTATTCNGAAATTTAACCTGAACTATTCCATTTTTTTGTTATTCGAAATTTAACCTGAACTATTCCATTTTTTTGTTATTCGAAATTTAACCTGAACTATTCGAAATTTAACCTGAAGTATTTGACTTTTTGATAATTCATCTTTAAATTTAATGATAGTTTTTATTTATCCCTGTACAATTCACACTAGGAGACAGCCATGTTATTGGTTAATATCTTGTTTTTTTGCTCTATGCAGGATACTTACCACTACCAGTAATAGTAATAGTCACTCCCCCACCGGTACCCCCACGGGATGGGCTAACTGAAGTAATCCTAGAGGTCAGAGCAACACGGTACGTGAAATAACCCGGCTTGGATGCCATCACACCATCCGCCCCATACACAACAAGAGGGCAGGTCACATCTTTGGTAATGTTCCCTCGGTATGGCGGTACCTCACAGCGCATGCGTCGTGCGCTGACATCCATCACAATACATAAACTTTTACATATCTTTACAACTGTTGCAGCACCGTAACCTTGTCCTTGTATAGACACAATCCTCCCTCCACCTAGACCACTCTCCTTCACAGACGCACTAACGATCGCTATGTCATAAGTCATTTTAATTGGTTGATTGGTTATATAGCCAGAAAATCCCTTTCCTTTGACGTGGACTACAACGTCGTAAAGACCCGCGGGATGATCCTCGAGAACGCACATTATTCTTCCACTCGCGACTGAGTGAGCCTTGCACGTGCTGTTGCCAATGGTGACGGTAATACTTGAGGGGACGCTGCCGAAGCCTTGTCCTGTGATCGTGAGTGTGTCTCCGCTCATTGCTTTGGTGGGGAAGACGGAAGTTATTCTCGGCGTTAGGAAGCTACGGTAGGCGAATCTGAGACCGGGGAAGAGTTTTCCTCCAGAGGTTAAATCCACCTAAAAATTATAAGTAGTGGGTTAGCGGTAACTCGTAATGCTGAATGCTCTCCTAGCGTTTGAGAAAAACTTCCAAGATCTTTCTCATTGGTAGGTCACTCTTTACTAAGAAATCATCTCTATCTCAGGATCCCCTCCCGAAAACCATGCACTGTAGAAATAAAGTTGAAAGTGGGAAGGAACCCCCTTCATTAAAACATCTTCATTATGTATCAGCATCATGTGTCATCACCATCATGCATCATCATATATCATGTATTGTCATCATCATCATCATGTATTATCATTAAGTATCATAATCATGTATCATCATCATGTATCATCATGTATCACCATCATGCACCATCATATGTCATCAAATCCTCATGTATAGTCATCATCATCATCATGCATCATCATCATGCATCATCATCATGTATCGTCATCATCATCAACTTTACCTCAAATGATCCTGTCTTATGGGCTGATGTCACACATGTAATCTTAGAGTTTGTAACTTTTGAAATCACACATATATTTCCACCAATAAGAACAGTCGTCTGACCAGAACCAGGGTCGAATCCATTTCCTGAGATAGTCACCTCCGTACCTCCGTACTCACTCCCTTCAGTTGGTGAGATATCAGAAACAAGAGCTAAACTAACAACCGCTTTAGCAGCATCGACATCCATCATGGCGTATCCTTTAGGGTTAATACGGACTGATATCTCATGGGAACCAGCCACTACTGTTCCTATACTACACAGTATTGCATAATGTGTGGCTGTTAGTACCTTACAAGATTCGTTTCCAAATTGAATAGTAATGTCAGAGTTCTTAGCCAGGAGACCTGTACCGTAGAAGTTGATAACATTGTGATCTCCGATGATAGAGTCTGGTGTGACGTAATCGATCATTGGTGTGGAGGAGTCAGAGAATGTGAAAGCACATCCAACACGAGACACACAGATACTCTCCTTGTTATTGACACTGACTGACAAGTTAAGTTTCTTTGATACTAAGTAAGGCTGTGTGACGCATTTTATTTCTGATGGACCAGTTGATAGGATGGTACAATTCGTCGGCCCAATCTTGACGATATTCAATCCCGGTATTTGAGAAAAGCCAACTCCATTAATAGTCAACACAGTCCCCCCTGCTAATGACCCTGACCAAGGTGACACAGACGTTACCGTAGGGCGTAGGTTAAATCTCATTGATGCTACATCATCTGTCTTAAGCCAGGCATTGCCCCGGTTGTTGACGCGTACATTGACGTCATAAGGTACTCCTGCGGTGAGAGCGTTGCCCGTGGTTACCCTACACGTGATGACGTCAGAAGAGCTCGTAAGTATGATGCATTGCTGTGATGCTATTGTTACTTCACTGTGACACGGACTAGGCCCTAGTCCTCGACCGCGTATAGTCAACACGGAGGAACTGGTACCAATGTTAGGGGTAACTGACGTCACTTCCGGTGTACTGCATTTGTGAAATACAAAGCTTGAATGCTGATTCGTTGGCATTGAAGGATTGCACTGAGATATCTCTGAGGTAATACCTGTATGGCAATCAAAAGTCGAAGGGAGGGGAGGGACAGTCTGTGTTAGATTATGAACAGCGGTAAAATTTCCAACTTGAACTGTAACATTTGTTGCCTTGGACCTCGGTTCCGTGACCACAATTTTGCCCTTCATGTTGATGACGTCATAAGGATCGATGAACCCACTAGAGTAGTAATAAGTGCCCGGTACGTTGAAGCGGTGCTGGTACCAGCCGGTACTGGTTCGTTCACTTTTGAACCCTTTACCATTATACGATGTGCTTGAAGAATCGTTTGTCTGTTGGATGCCGTATTGAAGGTTAGTCATCTCTGGACTGGACCACTGCCACTGGATAAAATAAATAAATAAATAAATAAACAAATAAACAAACAAATAAACAAATAAATGAATAAATAAATAAACCAACCAAACAAACAAACAAACAAACAAATCAATCAATCAATCAATCAGTCAGTCAAACAATCAATCAACCAACCAACCAAACAAACAAACAAACAAACAAATCAATCAATCAATCAATCAATCAATCAATAAATAAAGTCTGCCTTTAAGGCGCGGTTACACAGCAATTTTCCCTGAAACTTGTCACGCAACAAGCTGCAAGAAGGTTTACAGGGTTTATTGTCTTTATTATCAAACTTCAGGTAGTTAGACATTGCATAATGTCATCTTATGAAAGAATGACTACAAGATTTGTCCTGAAAAGAGAGAGAATAACAGGATAACGTTTCTAACCTTAACAGTGTCTCCTGAATTGATTGTAATCGTTTGTGGGTTCCAAGCATATCCAAGACCGTACTCTGAAGAAAAAAGAGTAAGTAATCCATTACATTCATAATCACGAACGCGTTTTCTTACTTCAAGCTCAGATCAAATGTCTAACTTCACCTGAGCCGAATTACAACAGTGGATAACAAGGCGGTCTTCTTTAATGTCATTAGGTTCGGCTCGTGCGAGGCTTAAGGCCATAAAATCCTTGATAACAAGGAAGTAAGTTTTGTTAAGCAAAATTACAACTTTTAAGAACCTCTGATTGTTTCAAATATTTAAAAATAATAAAATATATAAATGTTATCCTAACCTGGATGAATCCCTGAATTATCAACATAATGTGTGATAGAGGAGTCAGTTGTTTTACACAGTATCTGATCACTTCTACTCGACACCACAGTACAAGGCACGTCACCCATGGTAACCACATTCCCCACCGCATTGAAGCCACGACCCCTGATGATCACTAGGGTACCCCCGAACACAGATCCCTGGCGCGGATAGACGTCAGTCACTTCCAGGACGTACTCAATACGTGGTGGAGCTCCTTGATATGATGCATAACCATTTCCTGGGACATTGATGATGACGTCATATATCCCAGGCGCATGCGCGGGGATAGTGCATCTGATGAGTGAAGGGTAGTGTACGATGATTTGACATGGTTTTTGACCAATCAGAACCGTTCCACGTGATCCAAAATTTGTACCAGAAATGACTAACTCGCCGCCGCCGCCGCCGCCTACACTTTGTGTTAGTGGACTAATAGTGGTGACGATTGGCGTCTTTGACAGGTCAAACTGGAAAGCGTTTCGTAGAAAACCGGTTTGGTTTCGGACTTTGACCTGAAGATCTTCCTTGGATTGTACATGTTTTGATGTGATGCATGTGATCTGAGACCAAGATGAGTTGATTATTCTACAGTCACTATTCCCTAACATGACAGTCAGCTGTGAAGCATCCAATGAAAATCCATTTCCGGTTATATATAACGTTGTCCCACCAGCGACACTTCCAGTGTTTGGTGTTACCTTGGTTACAGTCACTTCTTGAACAAATGTCACATGACCGTTCACGTGTTTTGCAAACCCCAATGTCTTAACATTCACATTCACGTCATTAGTTCCACCAACGGATTGGCCAGCGAAACACGTTATGGTAGAAGATGTGCTTCCGGTCACATGACAGGGAGTTCCACCAATAGTCACGTTGTTGTCCTGCGCGTTGGTGCTAAAGCCACTTCCGGTTAGCTGTAAAGTTGCTCCTGGCTGTCCTTTGTTTGGGGTGATGGAGGTCAGGTTTGGTGTTGAGTGAGGCGAGTAAAGAAAAGAGCATTTTCTTGTAGAACAACTTGAAGGAATATTATTGACCATCACTGAAACCTGAAAGAAAATAAAAGATACAAAAAACATCAGTTTTATCCTTACGTGCAGTTGATCTTACATTTCAATTTTCGTTTCCCATTTTCTTATGATTTTATTTTCCAGGCCTTAAATTGCAGCAGTTGTTAATTCATTCACAATTGTTCATATTGTAATGAATATAGACCACTTGCACTGAGTCCCGAGAGGATTTGTTTTGGGGACAAAACAATGGATTTTTTTTTGCATAAAGACAGCCCATTTTTTTGTCCCCCCAGAACAATTCCTCTACTAAATCAATGTAAGTGGTCTATTCTGGGGGAATATCCCTTCTTTTGAGAAAAGACATGGTCACCATGTGGTTGGCATGACATAAGTTTACTTGTTCCACGTGACTGAAAAAAGGAGGGCATAGGTCCGAGACCTTGCGTTGGTTTATCCCCATGATCCAATTCAATATCGTATTATTACCGAAGTCTTTCTTTTTTGATTTTTGGATTACCTGTGGTTTCGTTTCCGCTACTCGTAACATCTCACCAGGAATCGGCCTAAGAAACATACCACCATCATCTAGAGTCTCTGACTTCGCTGATACGTCATTTCCTGTTAAACCACTTCCGTCTACTTCGATGTCTGGTTGATTTCCGCCGGAAGTGACCCACTCTATGGTCCAGTTGTACCCTGCGCATGCGCCAGTACGAGTTACATTGATCAGTCCAATGTTTAAGTCATTTTCGAGTTTTGATTTGAGCTCGGACGCAGAAATACTTGAAGAAATTCCTGGTGCAATAAAAAATAAATAAATAATCAAAAAATTATTTTGAAAACGATATAAAAGCCCTGACCTCTGACCTCCGCCCTATTCTCTGACCTCTAACGCTTACCGCTTACCAGAGTAACTTTCTCCATTAAAACTCAAATCGAAAGTCCCGCCAACAGGAGGCGTAGCCCTCTGAACACGTGTCACCGTTACCATGGCTTCAGTTTGATTGACAGGACGATACCTCGTGATGTCATCAGAAGTATTATGAACATCTTTTCGAGCGTCTACAATCTCGATCATCTCGAGCTCTGTACCACAATGCGCGGGCGTGAGATATATGGCCCATACTGCTGACCCCATCTGACGGACGTCAAATGATTTAACCACGTGACCTCCAGGTTCTGCTGCAGGATATTGTCGCAACACTATGACGAAATATGAATAATGACGAAATTAATAAACGAATTTTTTCAAGTCATTTTTTATACCAAAAACCTTTGATTGAAACTTACCGTTGACAGAATCTCTCCAAATAATGACATCATCCACATAGATATCGGTGTTGGTATCTTTAGTAATCTTTATCTCATCTACGTAATATCCATAGTCTTTGTTGGCCTGACTATTAAGGTAGCTGTCACTGTACACGTTGTCATGGATACTCATACAATAATATTTCCATTTTGTGGTCGTCACGGGAGTAAAGCCGTACTTTCTCCACACTTGTCGACCATTCCCTGAACGGTCCGTGTAGGATACGTAGAATTTCAGATAAGGTTTGTAAGCACCCTTGTATGCAAAACAAAGCTGAAAAAGAGCAAAGCATAGGTAAGTTGATATTCTATTCTAAACATTGTAGTCTTTTCATACTAAAAATGTTTTTTTACGTGGTTGAAATATTTTTTGTATACCCGTTTTTGCAAATCTTTCATTTCCAAATCACTGAATTTTAAGGATCAGCTATGACACAGGAAGCCCAAAAAGAATAATAAAACTGGCCGCCGTGTTGGATAACATCGAGTGAACTTTTCTATTTATCGCGCGTTTATTACTGAAATGCAAATACTTTGGGCCACGAAGCCTTGAATAATAAAATTGACTTTTATTTTTGGATGTTAATTAAGGGCACAAAAATCTGAATTATGATATTTGGCGGCTTTCTTTACCAACCTGACGATACTTCGAAACATCTATTCCCTTTAAAGCTCTTCCTCCTAGACTACGAGTCTGACCAGCACGAAAGATGTAAGAAGGATTCCTAAGAGATACTCGACCACAAAATGATCTTTCATCAACAACGCGTTCGCCAAACTCAGGACCCAAACTCTTGGACTCGAAACCATTGTAATACCAAGCACGACCTATAGGGATCTGGTAACTACACTGCCAACTGAGCATGCTCTGTAAAGCAGTTTTGACGTCATTTCCGCTAGCATTTACCCGAATGTAGTCGGAGATTCTCGTTCTTAGAGAAAACCTGAATTTCCAGTTACCATTTCTGCCTGGAATTAAAATTGAGATGATATTTTCAAACTATTTACTTGGATTTGTAATAGACCTATTTAGCTCAGGCGTAAAGTAGTAAACTCAAAGTGCCAAGCTACGAAAAGGTCTTTATCGTACTGAAATATAAATTTTAGATTCTAACCTTTTTGAGTCTGTGCTATCGTCACAAAGGCTCCATTACCAACTAACAAAGACTCTAAAGACTTCGTTTTTGAAGGTAACTCAAATATGAACGTTACATTGTAATTTGATGCCCCATTTAAGTTGTCTTTCGTGACTGTCACGTTTCCCTGTTGCGTGATTGGTGCTAGATTGTTTATGGCATTCTGTACCAGCTCCGACGTGGAATGTAAGTTTAGCATGATTGTCTTGTGGCCGCTGTAACTGAGCTGAAACTGTTCACCACAAATAGATTGGTCTGCAAAAAAAAAAAAAAAAAAAAAAAAAAAAAAAAAAAAAAAAATGAAAAAAAAAAAAAAAAAAAAAAAAAAAAATGCAACGCGATACAGATTAACTGAAATACATCAAAAGTGTATTAGACATAAGTATGAGTTTATAGACCATCTCATTTCGGAAGCAAGGGTGATGTGCGCTGATAATGCAACCGTGGTCATGTGTACCATCCCCAGACTCGCTATCATATGTGAGTATCAGCCATTTTGAGGTTGAGGAAAAAACGGGATCGAATTAGGTCGAATTGGGATTGCGGTACATTTTAGGGCTGTTTTAAGGGACAAACAAGAAGAGCACATAGAGATTTTGTCTGCGCATGTGCTAAATTTAAGCTGTAAACTGTAAACTGTAAATTTTAACATCTATTTACCACAGGCATGCCAGGCGTTAATGTTGCGGTTTTTGAAAAGAATGTTTAAATTATTTAAAAGTTGGATCTCAGTCAACAATTCAAAAAACTTTGTCGTCGACCGGCTAAGACCTACGCGACTGCAATGAAAGGGAATATATATAAAAATCACTGAAGAGGTTAAATATTCGTTCTGAATTCATTGTTCCTGATGAAAATATTAATGGCGAGCAACAACACATTAACAACCCAGTAGATAGCCGCCATCTTGGAAATATCTCCCCTAAAGCAGCCCCACAATGCACCGCCATGCTATTTCGACCCAACTTTTTTCTCTGGTACTCCTCTCTCCCCAAATAACAACGTCTAAACATCATATTAAATAATGAAACTGAGGCCACAGGCTAGTTGCTACTAGCTAACATTAGACGTGCTACCCCTCGTAAAACGAACCAATGCAACATACTTGCACCAGTACAGTTTGGTGTGACTGATATTCGTTGCATCTCGTACGTCAGTCCGCTGTCCCAATTCGTGATGTTGATGATCTGTAAGAGAAACAGGAATCCCATAAACGCATTTTTGTAACGATAAAATGGCTTTCCATAACTAGTACTAGCGCACGGTAGGTAGTTCACCCTCCCCTCCCCCCCCNCCCCCTTCCCCCCCACACCACCACCATCAACCTATATAGCTGCCGGAGCCATTCCTGAACAACCATATCTATTGTACTTTGCACAAAAGACACGATAATACAAAGGTTTTTTACTTCACATGAAGCATGCTTTACCTGCGTTTCGGGACGTTCAGTTGACAGAACTCGTATAACCTGTTTCTCGTTAACCGCTGACCCTATCTGTGAATTGACATATCTTGTTTTCTCAAGCTTCACTCCAATGCGCACGTGACTCGATCCTCTTCCCTGTAAGTGGTAAGCCTCCATGTAGTACGCATGCCCCGCCTTGAGAGAGAAGACCGCTGATCGTTGCTCTGGATGTTTGTTCCAGATGGTGGCAGCATCGGGGCATGAAGCGATTTTTCGCTAAAAGTCAACAAAAAATGCACTTGAAATAAAGACGAGAAAAACACATTACACATGCTCCAAAAAAGGTCTTATCTGAGCCCTCAATCCTTGACGAAATGACAGTTCGTCCAACGCATGCGTAATTAACAAAACTCCAAATTATGATTTTTTGTTACCCAGTGCACATAATTTGTACACATTTTTGGAGATAATTAATAGCATTACTTAATATTCTGTACCTTCTTCGTGGCAAGTGAATCAGTACTCAAATACAGTTCTGCTTTGTCGTCAGCCTGGATAAAGAACGTGTAATTATTGTCGGACGGCGCAACGAAAAATCCTCGCAGACGGGAACTAAACATCGTGTTTTCCCCAAAGGATGATTTTAAAGGCGAACTTGCATCAGGGACAACTTCGGAACGATAATCCAATGCCGATGAATCGAGGGTTGCAATCGATGACAAGTCGGAAGGTTTCGAGGAGGTCCAAACCTCACGAAGAATGCCTCGATTACCTATGCGTTTGATAGAGAATTGTTAAAAAAACATTACGCTGTTTTACTTGTTAGGATGATGTTTGCGAGGCCTGGATTTTGACTTGTTAAGGGTGTTCGTTGTGCTTCGAGTATATTTTACCCAGCTCATTATAATTTTTATTCTTAGATTCAAAAAAAATCTACCCTTTAAATTCAATGTGACAGTTAGACGGCACTATGGATGATGGTTTAACAATTTGATAAGCATCGAGCGCCTGCGATAGATCCGAGTGCAATCACTGTGAAATCTTTTTTAAGGCAACTAAACAAAATGGGTTTCTACAATCGACGAACCTGGATAGAAGCCTGTTGAAGAAAGAGCATCAAATCCTTGTCCTGTTTGACATGTGATTGTGTCTGATGTGACAGACAAGACACGGCACGGTAACCCTGCAACATATTGAGAATACATTTGATAAAAAAGAAGTTACAATATATAGTCATAATATAATCAAAAGATCCAGTTACTCCATCTTCAATTCATCCATCCATAGATCCATCCATCCATCCATCCATCCATCCATCCATCCA